AACAAGGAGTTGATCGTATAGCAAACGGACCGTGCTTTACAGTAAGTTCAATATATGTGAGTTCAAGAGCTAGGATAAATACTTAAGAAGCCAATATATTTAGAAGGAAAATCCCTAGATGAAAACTGAAATATATATTATATGCTAAAGTACTAAACCAACGAATCAAGTATTACTAATAATAAACTCGCATCCATAATCTGGAAATTGATCCAATTAGAAACCCACAAAGTCGAGATATTTAAACAAAAATTATCGTATTACGAAATAAATCAACCCAGCACACACACACACACACACACACACACACACACACACACACACACACAATAATTTGAATTGGCTGAAATACTATATGTATTTTGATGAAGAAACAACGAGGTTGCAGCACCCACCATTTTTTTTTATTTCAATACGAACTTCAGAGCTTCAAAAAATGAAATTCAACATGCAGGGTATCGCTATTCTTCCTTTATTAGACCGGATCTTCAGATATGATCTTTACGGAAAACAGTATTTAGTTATTTGGGGGGAAATCAATATAATCGTAGTGTATAGTTGCTGTGGAAAGAATTAGGGTTTTGGTGTGAATAAAAGTCGGTGAAATGATTTCTGGTAATCGAAAGAAAAGGGGATTACTGATGTTTACCTCACGTGACACGCACGTGGTCACGATGCCAGTTGACACAAGGTGAGCCCGGATCTTTTCTTTATTTTTTTTGGAAAATTACACCTACACCCTTGTAGTTAGACACGGCCACGGGCCGGTTTTGGGCCCGGAACCAGCCCGAACCGGCCCGTTGACGGCCCAAACCGGCCCGTTGACCGAGTGAACCGGCCCGTCCTACCCGGGACGGGCTCGGTTATGAGAAATGGTGAACCGTGAACCGCCGGGCCGGCCCGGCGATTCACCCGGATTTAAAAAAAAAAAAAAAATCAAAAAAATTCAAAAAAAAAAAGCAAATAACGGCTAGTGAACCGGCCGTTATTTTTTTTTTTTTGAATTTTTCTTCCCCACAATTTTTCCTAAAATTAAGTTCAAGTCTTTTCATTTATTTCCTTTTCCTTTTTCTATTTAAAAGTACTTTTAATTTACTTATTCATCAAATATTTCAAAAAAAAAAAAAATTCAAAATTTCCGGGCCGACCCGGAACCGGCCCGCTGAACCGTCCATACTACGGGCCGGTTCCGGTTCCGGAAAATGTGAACCGTGAACCGGTTTGAACCGGCCGGAACCGGCCCGTGGCCGTGTCTACTTGTAGTTATGCTAAAACGGTAATTTCAATTATCTCCCTCAAACATTGTTAGTTTAAGTGGTGTGGCTGTAATTATCAATACCACATGGACCTTAAAGTTATTTAACGTACATCAGGGGTTTAAGTGTATTTTACCCTTTATTTTTTTTTACAGAGTAACCCAAAAATAATGTTGAACTTTGTAAAAAAAATCTAAAATTGCTTGGTTTGTTGCAATTCTATAATTACTTGGTTAACGACAGTTTTTTGAAGTATTGGTATGTAGTAGTTTGAAATTACTTAGTGAGTAAGAATTTTGTAATACCAGTAGAGTTCAGTTATATAATTACCATTCGAGTGGCAGTTTTATAATTACTGATTACTGACAATTTTGTAATTACTTGTTGAGTGTTAATTCTATAATTATTTTATGAGGAACAATTATGTAAGTATTGTATCAATGTGTGTATATTAGTATATGTGTGTCTCGAGAGTGTGAAATTTGAGTATAATGGATTTTAAAGCAGATATAATAAATTAACATATTCAACTTCATATGTTGAAATATTTAACTTCAACATTTAACCCACGTAAGCATATTGAATCATAGAAATGTATAATCATTAAACAAATAAAAGAAGCAAACAATTTTAATTATAAATATAAATTTAATACAATACTTTTTCATAATTCAACCACAGCAATAGTAAAGCCAGTCCTCTCCAAAGTAATTCCCAAATATAACAATCTAAACAACACTGAGAGAAGAATAACCAAATCTATAGCAACAACAAATGAAGAAAGAAAGAAAGAAAGAAAAAATATATCATGGAACTTCAAGAATCAAATGAACACAATAAAAATATTCTTTATTCTTCAAAAAAAGGGCAATCAAATCAATTATCAACAATGGAAGCAATCTCTACCTTCGGTGGGCCAGAGTGCCGCCTGGGCTTAGCTGGCGAAGGTGAATAGGAAAGCCGTTTCTTAGCAGAAGCAGGCGAAGATGAATTAGTACCCTTATTATCCACTGCACCATTTTCCAATGTTCCTAAAGGGCTCGATAGTTTCGACTTAGCCTTAGCAGATCGAGTGGGTGCCATGTAACTCGGTACAGCTGGCGAGCTAGCCAAGCTCTCGTCATCTCTCACCGAAGAACCTGCAATACTATGCCTTCTATTTCGCTCCGATTGAGCGTTGCTTAGTACACTCATTGAGTCGTCTTCTTTTGGTTTTAATGATTTTCTTGCGGGAGATGCCCTTGAAGTAGGTGAAGATGGAAACTCGGAGTTTAGTTGATGTCGAGCGAAAGATTTTGTGATTTCTCCCATGGAGGGTAAAGGGTCGGTTTTGAGATCTTTATCGGATGGGATTTGAGTGTCTAATGGGCCGTTAGCCATTAATCTTTCTAACCAGCTCCAACCCCAGTGAGGGTTAGTTGGATCCATGAATAATAAATTGGTGGATTTTGCTGATTTCTTCCATGTTTGCTGTTTCAAATGGAAATGTGTGACTAATTTTACGTATGGAAATTTGCAATCTAAACATGCATGGATAACTAAAAGGGGCACCAAAATCGAATCGTAAAATCGTGGGATTTTACATATCTTGTGAATTTAAAACGCATGCCGAATGTTATATGTCTTGACATGTATAAAGTATCTCCAAACGTAAAGAAAGCATGTTCCCTACATAAAATGAACATTTTTCAAACAATCGGGTCTAACCCAATAAACTGAATCCTAGCACAATTTTATCCAAATGTAAAATCGTTAAAATAGAAGTGAAATAGTATATTTTAAGGATTTTGCTTGGATTGCGATTCAACCTAGGATTTAAAGGTAGAGGCTAGTAAAATCGTAAGATCATCGTATTTTTGGGATTTTAACTACTATGTGAGTATTCATAAGCCAATTTTAGGTTTCATGATTGAAACAATTGGATATAATGAATGGATTTGAGGGAATGTTTATCAAATTGAACCACATAAAGTGGATTTCAAATCCATCAACGATTACTGATAAGCTAGTTCAGATTGAAACTTAAGGAATCGAAATACTAAAACGAATTTCATCAAACAAGTTCAATGGATTTGTTGTTCTGGATTTAAAATTATTTGCTCAAAATCTTTCCATCCAAATGCAACCTCGGGAAATTCAGTTAACTCGTATGTGACACAGATTTAAAACATCTAACCCCACACAAAGAAAAGGACGAACTACACAATTTCAAAACCCTCGTGCATGTCTTTCTCTTTATTTATTTTTTCGTTCTGTGTGTGTGTGCGTGTGTTCTCCTATTTTGTAAGGGCTGAAGATAATTAGATTGTGAAGAGATATAAATAAATAAGAAGTACCTGGTGAGTGAATGAATAAGCGAGAGCTCTTTCCCGCCTCATCGCAGCTTCATACTTGTGAAGCAAACTCGTCTCAATTTGCTCTTTCGATTGTAGACTATAATCCCAATCCTCTCCCATCTGCAACATTGCATTGTCGAAGGCTCATTAGAACAAAGCGCTCGATTAAGAATTAATTGAAAAATTATGGATATGGTTTATATGATGATGTCATTATAGAAAATTATGCCTCAGATTCTTGATCTCCGTCTTGTTTCCAACAAAAAAAAAACAACCCTTAAACGAGCAGCGAGTTCTTTGACTGAGCTAATTTGCTTAATTTATAGTTCGTATAGCAGTCAAATTTGTTATAACATTTAAAGGAAAAAAAAACTAACTCGCAAGCTCTCGAGTTCTTTAGCACGTTTCTGCAGAAGCTGTCTCTGGAGCGTCCGATTCTCCTCCAGCATTGACATTCGTCTAGATTGAATCTGAGACTGCACACGAGATAGAGATTGCATGCATTTCAGAGTGTTCGCGGTTTGGCGTTTTATGGTGGGCCCATCGACAAGTGTTTTCAATCTCACGAGCCCTCTTAGAGCTCTCAATGCCCTCTTTGCCTGAAAATTAGGAACACAAATATATATATATCAACCCCATCGTAAAAGTAATTCTACCTTGAAGACATCATAATTCACTAAATAACCGAATAAAATGCAAATATTATATATTCCATTTATGGGGCCACACACTGCAGATTCCTCTTCAGAACAAAGTTCTTAAATAGGCATAGAACATCAAAACCGGTTGATATAGTTCGATACACTCTCGTAAGGCATCTCTTTTTCTTATTGTTCATGTCTACCTTATTCAAGTACAATGACAGGGACTAAAAAAAACGGAGATTTTGTATAGTAGAGAATACCAGGTAACCACGGAAAGCTGTCTGAATCTTGATAGCCGCAACTTCCTCCACAGATTTTCCAGCGAATCGAGTCACAACAATTGGTTGAACTACCTCTTCAAAAGCCTCTGTAATAACTTCAGCTTCTTCATCAGCTACAACTGCATCAACTGTAGGAGAATAATCACGTATCGTCTGCTGTTCGTTCTCCACCTCGGTCAACTTCACTTCTTCCAATGGCGGCTGAGGATGAGGATGAGACGCTTGAACGGGCTCGGGATTTGGAGATTCGGAAACTGATAGCTTCTGTTTCCCAAACCATTTCTTTTTCGATTTTTTCTGAAAGCAGACAAATATCAATCAATCAATCAAACATCGTAGTTTAAGTGTATACAACAGAACCACGATTCGGTATACATATTAACATATGCATAAAATATACAAACCTCGGATTTCTTTTCTTTAGAATCCGGGTTGAGAGCCTTCTTTACTGAAGATAACCATCCTTTCTTCCTCCCCATCCTTTTATCATTCCTCGATTGTGTCGAAATTCTGTGATAACAGAACTATACAAAATTAACGAACAGAAATCTAAACAAAACAACCTTAATAAAATTTTCAAGGCTTAAATCACATAAATCAATATAACATAAATACAATCCTTCACACACATTGAATCTCCAACACTCAGATTCTCAGATATACTATTATCTCTTCACTTCATATGATCGAAAAAGATAAAGCGCTGACTTCTAACCTACTCCATTTTACACCTGCATTTCTCCATTATTGCAATTTACTCATCAATTCAAAATCTAAACGCGCAAATTTGCCCATAAGTCAAATCAGATGAATTTCAATAAAAGCCATTCGCAATTGTAAAATTAGATACAGATATAATTAACAACTTTAATTTAAAATCATATTTTTGCCAACAAATTCACCTGAAAAAATGGAGCTACCTCCGAGATCTCAGTCGATAATTCAATCTTCAAAAAGGAGAGTTCGTTGAAACCCGAGATGAGAGAGAAAGCAAATAATCTCTAAATGAAATTCGTGATTTTGAGTGTGAGAACTGTGTGTGTGAGAGAGAGCTAGATCTTGGGGAGGGAACAATTCAACGGAGAGAAGGTGAAGAAACATGAGGAATCACTCACTACATGCATTTCACAGCTGGTTTTTTTTGCTAATGTGGGGACCACCTTCGGAGCTGCCCAGCTGGGCCCCACTAGATTAAAATTGTTTTTTATTTTTTTAAAAGAGATTTTTTTTTTAAGTAAAATTGGAAAAATAATAAAGAAAATAGTATAATTTGAATACTAATATAGAAAAGAAAAATTTCCGATAATGTAAAAAAAAAAAAAAAGAAGGAGTAATATGTTTGACAATATTTTATATATTTTTCGAAAAAAAAAAAATATTTGTCGGTCATTAAAATACAAAAAAAAAAAATGAAAACAACATATCGAGGGTAGTATGTATATAGTATATGTACTTGGCTGGAGGGAATCGAAGCAATAATCCACGTCATTTCTTAACAAATTAATTATATTTAAAGCATAATTAAATCGTTTTTCAGGAAGAAAATAATTGTGGTTTTATTAGATTAAAAACATACTTGCATAATTAGTTGAATTTTTACGATGAAAATAATTATGGTGTTGAGCAGTGAAATTACAAAAACACCCTTGATTGTAAACAACAATTGCACCGACAAAAATGATGGATCGTTTGAAATATTAGTTGAATAATTAGAAGCGGCCGGCCACTCGTTTAGGTCTACCAATTCTGTCTTACAGCGTATACTTCTTGGCTTTGCCAGATGTTCAATAATATATAAGATATTCCTCTATGTTCAATCAATTATATGTATATCTCCTTCCAAAAAATTATACTTCACGAAGATATTGACATCCTTTACAGATATTAATTGAACTCAAATAAATAAATCAATCAATTCCAAGTTGACAAGTTCTTGTATTTTCAATCATATTGTTAATTTTATGTTGCAATAACATCAATCCGATGTCGTCCAGCGGTTAGGATATCTGGCTTTCACCCAGGGGACCCGGGTTCGATTCCCGGCATCGGAATAATTTTTCTATTTTTGTTAATGAAATGAGTTTTCAATTTGTAAATAATTGAATAAATGTTTACCAATAATCCGATGTCGTCCAGCGGTTAGGATATCTGGCTTTCACCCAGGGGACCCGGGTTCGATTCCCGGCATCGGAAATTTTTTTTAACAACTTTTTGTATTTTACAAATTCCAACAAAGGAAGACTGTTTTCCAACAAAATTAACCAAACTTTTTGTATTTTACAAATTCCAACAAAGGAAGACTGTTTTCCAACAAAATTAAACAAGACAATTGGTTGTAAATTATATTTGTAGCATTTCATTTTATCACGTGGTTAAAAAAGATTAAACAAGCCTTTCAGTAATTTTGTGGATGGCACATCTGCACTAATACATTAGGCAGTTTACATTTTTACTTTGACACAATCAAACACATATACATATGGATGACCATGTGTGTAAAATATAAATATGACGAGTCTATACGCATGTATTGTAGATATAAAGCTTTCACCGGACCTAGTATAGAACAAACCACAAAAGCACTATGAGATTCAGATATTTATACAAAGGGGCGGATCGCAGTACCGTTCTGCACTGTTCTTCTATACATTACAACTTCCAATCGAATATAACACAATATTCGTTCATCAGATTTGGAAACCGAAACTAACACCACCTAGCAATAAATTCTTTATATACCACACGAAAGGATCTTCCTTTTTTTTTTTTTAAACACGAGTGCAATGATATACATATTTTTTTGTAGGGAATTACATACACTTCGACTAATGAAAGAATAGCAGCTGGTAAAGGAAGGCGAATTGTGAAAAATCCCTGCAAAAGAGAACGAATTAAACAGCCGCAAATTGCAGCATTAAAATTCAAATAATAAATGCAGAAAGCACTATTGCCCTCACCTTTTCTTTTTTCTGAAGGTCAACTGCAGTATTATTATGTAAAGGCGAAAATCCTATCGGCAATAGTTGTTCGGCAAATAGGGCACTCACAACATGCAAGGGAACACGACTGGCATACTGAAATATTTTTTGAAGTATATAAAATTTAAAATTAGTAGTGTTACCTGATGAACGTACAGATAAACAAAGCTCGAACGTGGAATAAAACTTACAGCAGAAATGGCGACATGGAAGAAGCATAGTAGCGGTAGGTGATTCGAAACATACTTTACACACGTGAGAATTTGCATCTCCATTTCCACTGTACCTCAGTTCTTTCTCTTTCATCTCCTGCATTCGAGCCTGAAAGAAATTGTAGGGAACCGTAAGATTAAGCTAGTTAATGAACTTTTCTCAGTTTTACATTCCGATCATCAATTGAAATGAATTCTACCAAAAAAAAACGATATGATCATTTAAAGGTGTGAAAGATAGGAAATAGTTACTTTCAGGCGGACAACGAGAGGCTCTTCCTTGGGAATGTTAGAAGCTGCCATTGAATTATCCGGAGCTTCCTTATCTTTCATTATCGGGTCCTCATCAACATCGCCAACTTTCGAGTCATTCATCTTCTGTTCTTGCATAACATTCCCCTCTTTCTTTAACTGAGCAACGAGCACCCACATATTAGCCAGGTCATTCTCCAAAGCCGCCTCTCTTTTCTTCGCCTCTTCAGCCTTTTTCCTATATTCATCTTCCAAAATCTCCTTCTCAGCCAAGGCAGCCTCTAAAGTAGCCTCCCTTTGTTTCCTTGCTTGCACCTCAAGTTTTAGATCTTCGGCATCGAGACTCCATGACTCGAAGTCATTTGATCGGCCAGAAATCCGATTTTTTCGGCCGTTCCTTTGTACTGCGTCATTGTGCTTGCGGTTAACGCCATGGATGCTGGAATTTCTAGAGATTAACTCACGGGCGGATTGTGATTCTTTTTCCAGTTTGGCGTTTTGTAACGATAGCTTCGTTACTTCACCGGCTAAATTCTTTAGCTCAACTGCAGCGGCAGATGCTAGTTCTTTGGCGTAAGAAGCTTCCTCGGATAATTTCTGATTCTGTACACGTAATCCACTGTTTTCCTCGAGCATTTGAACATGTTCTAGCTTTAGTTTCTCGTTCTGAATTTCCTGCTTAAGTAGAAAGAGGTGTGTAGTCAATATAAATACCAAAAGTCACAACTTTTTTTTTCTCTCTTTCAGCTGAGTATGCACATAAAAAAATTACCAATGAATTGGTTGAGATTTGAGAAGGAATCAAAATGACAAGCAGAATTAAAGCATCGGAAAAATGCGAAATCAGATGAAGACTCGAGATACAAACTTGTACATTTAAGGAAATCATAAACAAAACCATATATATCCCAGATTAACACAGTACATTGTTTATATTAGCATCTAAATGGATCATCTTTAAGTTCACATGCAATCATATATCTGAAATCACTTCAGCACAAGTACACAAAAGATTAGATCATAGTTGACCCACTGAAAAATACTGACTGCTTAGTAAAACTTTTCAACTACCGACGTGAAGGTCACACATTTGAATTCTTAAGCACTTCGAATAACACAACTATTACTGTTGAATCACCACTTCATCTAAAAGCTCAAATAATTAGTAATGTGAATCATTTGCATATTTAGTAACTCTACAATTACAAAAAAGTGAATTAGGACATAATTTACCTGTGATTGCATTTTCTTTCTCAAATCATCAGCATATTCATCAGTTACACGGATTTCGGAAAGGGACGGGATTTTGTCACCAGATATTGAAGCTAGTTGCTGCTCCAGAGAGAAAATTTTCTCTTGCAATTCCTTGTTTTCAGAACACTGATAGCAAGCAAAGAACAAGCGTTTTACATGACAGGAAAATGACTTTTCAAAGCAGGTAAGAGAGAATATCAGAAATAAACTTCACAATGTTTTTCTTTGTTTGACCTTGTTTTGCAGCTGCTCCTGAAGAACACGGTTATCGGCTGATTTAATCTGCATTGTAAGATTAAAATTCTTAACAAAAAGCACTTATCGTTCTACAAGACTGGAATAACAGATATTTTTAGTGAACGAGTTGTGGTAAATGACAGATATAGAGCACTTGTGAATGAATAAAGATAAAGTGCCAAACAGAAAGACAAAAGAGAGAATAGAAACCTCAAGTTCAAAACTCTTCTCACTATACTGTGTCATCAATTTCATGACAGTCTGCCATGGAAGAAAAAAAAAAAGCAAAATAAAATATGTCAAGTAATATCATATGATAAGGCTTCACATGATCCTGTAAAAGACAGGGCATAATGTGTTCATTGAAATGAATAAGAGACCTGCTGAATTTCAACCATAGATGCATTAGCAACTGACGCTTCACCGGCCTCAGCTATACGCTGTTCTAAAACTCTCATCTGCATTTTCTTCTCATGGATTTCATGCTCCATATTCTGAATCTGTAAACGAGAGTGCACAGAACTTTTATGAGTTCCAAATCATGATATGACAAGCAATCCCTGCAACTCAAGTTTTCACATTTCATCACAACTTTCACATCTATTGATATTGTTCTATATTTTGAACTTCAGATATAAAAAATAAAACTTAAAAGAAATTATGTATTGGTAGTCTGGAGAGTTGTAGGGAGTATTTTGATCTTTTGAATAAGACAAAGAAATGCAGAGTTATCAGAATTAGAAGGTATATCTAAGATTTGGGTAAAGAGTGTAGAGGACAAGATCAAACACACATCATACACTGGTAGTAGATACTGCACGCATCTAAGAAGCATGGTAATATTAGAATAAAGGTAGCTGATAAATATTATTAGTCAAAGACCAATTCGAAGTTTGATCCACCCCATTCCTCTATTATTTCCACAGAATGCAAGATTCAATACAGTGAGATCATGGTACTATTCACCAAGTGACAGAAGTGGCAGAAAATGTTTATATTGTTTTGTTGCATGAGAAGGTGTTCATAACACAATAAATAACTGAACAAACAGCAGCAAAGGTAGCAATATAATAATTTTTCAAAAGGAGATTGTAGACCACCTGAGTTTTTGAGCTTTCAGGATCATTTACGGACTGCTCTATCAGACGCTTTAGGGTACTGGTGCTGAATGCAATCTCTCCAGCAAGCATCTTAACTTGCTCATTAAGTAGGTCCATCTGGTCTGACATTGTTATACCATCCTACAATGATTAATAAAAGAGCAAAAAGAGCCAGTGAGTACTCAAACTAACAAGCTTTCATATACGAAAAGTCCAAGGTCCAACGAAAACATACTATAGATATGCTTAGTCAACAATTTAAAGGCAACACATTAACCAAAAATCAATTGGTATAAATAACCAAAAAGATCAGCATCAAAGTCTAAAAAGATGCTCTGAGCAAGAATTCTATCCTCCCAACTATACAAAGATACTGAGTTACGTGTACAAAAATAAACTACAAGAAGATAATAAAAAAAATATATGTAGATTGCCAGATGAAGGTACGATTTCTAACAGTAAATGTATCGATTGCTTTAACACAGTTATCTGACGGATAATATAACTAGGTTGAGAAATAATTTGGTAAATTTTTAAATAAAAGCAGTTTAAATACTAAAAGAGAAGTTGGAAAACATACTATAGGTAGGTTTGACACGCAGGAAGAACCACTAAAAAGTTCACCCGCTTGAGTTGTTTCAGTCATAGTACTGCCAGCTTGTGATACATCATCATTCCACTTGCTGGATGATCTTTGGTGTTTAAAATCATAAATACTTGATGTGATAGTTAAAGCAGAAGATGGAGAATCTTTCTCATTTCCACCGTTGATTTTTCTAGAACCATCATGTAGAACATCCAACTTCTGTTAGACAAGAGAACACGAATATAGTGAATGAACAATAATTACCAAGTCTATACCCAGTCTCACTGACATAAGTCAATAATTTAAGCAGATTGATTTGGAAAGGACATCATGAACGGGAGTTTTGTCAATAACATCAAAGTCCAATTTCACAACAATTTGAAGGAAACAGGAGAATGTGTATAATGTCTTAAAGATGCCTAGTAAATAAGCAAATCACAAAAAACAACTTACGTCATCCTCGGAAGCAGAAAGAGTTCTTTGGCGAGAGGGCATGTCACTTGTGTATCCTGGTATTGTGTTTTTGGAGGAAACAAGTATTAGTTTTGTTAGCCTTTGGATTCTACTCATTAGAGCAGCTTTGGCTTCTTCTTCCTCCTCCAGCCTTGATTGCATTTTCACTTGCCCTTCTTCCAACTACGTAACAAAAATAGATAGCAGAAATAAGTTTGGTGTCTATTCTATTCTGCACAAGTAGACTGTAACTCAAAAAAATACAGATTATTAGTTATTTAGAGATGAGAGTCATGAATACCTGCTGCCTTAAGACTATAATTTCTTCAGGGTTGACACCAGCAAGCACTCCCCTCCTAAGTTGGTCAAGTTCTTCTTTGAGGACTGATATTTCTTTTTGATACTTTTTGATCAATGATTTTTCGTCAATTATCTGAAATTGAAATGATTTAATAGTTAATACCGTATGATTTCACCACTCTCAAATATGTGTCAAGTCCAAAGCATACATGTATACAAACTCACCCTATTACGCGAGGCATAGATTTCAACGCGTTTTGCCCTGCTGGCAAATTTTAAAGTATTATGGGTTTCCTCCAAATTGCTTGATGCTGGAGTAATTGTACATATAAGCTGATGGAACAAAAATTGATTATGTTAAATCAACTAGTCCACCAGTAAATTCCAATCACAGAATTTCCAACCTACTAATGGACGAGATGCCTAATATAAAAACAGAAACAGTAAAGTGCTGGATGTAACGGGAGAAGATTGAGCTACAAAGTAAAGAGATCGCCAAAGCATTTAATGATAAACTTAGAACATAAAATCGGAACGAAAAATTACTTCATGCCACGAATTAGATGGTTTCTTATGCTCACCGAAACATGTCCATGCCCACTTAGTGAAGATTGTAGAAGGCGAGTAAGCTTTGAATCCCGATAAGGAACGTGGGATGCTTTCCCTTCACTAAGTTTCCCAATAACCTTTATATTGCAAAAAAATCACAATATTAGAACATGAAAAGAAATAGCAAAAATAAATGACAAATTTAAATGTAACAAAGCAGGTTTTAGGAAAGAAGTTTTCAGTCTGAAGCCCCTCACTGTTAACAAGAGCATATTTATCTGAGCCAGCTCGTGCCTCAGTTTGTGTGCAAGCCATAACAAAAAAGTGTAGAACGACGATAAACCAAGAAAAGGAGAAGCGTCGTAAATATATGTTAAGTGACAACAGAGCAAGTTCACTCACAGTTCCAAGTGTTAGAAGACTTTTATTGATGTAAGATCCTTCCTTTCTCCTTACGCCAGTTGTTTCAGTTTTTGAACTTTCAGATCCAGCTAAATCAATTAAGTTCTGCATAAAGAATGGTCAAGTTACTGGAGAAATTCTAGTATGCATAGGAAATTAATAAATTCTGTACGGTGAGAAACTGAGAATTGATATATATTTTTTCACATTCCAAAATCCAAATTATTAGAAGTATTCATACCAGCTGTGAGAAAATCACACCATCATAATCATCTCCATGTGCACTACTTTCGATCATCTGGAACAAGCTTGCAGTTAGGGATTGTACGCAGAACGATAAACAGATGTTACAAGAAAAGAATGCAGAACAATAACGAAAAGAAAGGAAGACACGACTGCAAACAAATAACATAATTGGAGAAAGCACATATGCTATTGTATCACTTGGAAAAGAAAGGGTGCAAGGGATTAGAAAGAAATTCAATACAAATCTGCACCCAAAGATATGCATTTAATTGAGAAAAATAACAAACAGACACGAGACTATAAGTGGCACATTAGACTTCATACATAATAGTTAATATTACTTCAAATGTTTTCAACGCAATCTTTATTCTTTTTTTTCATCACCCCTTTCCGGTTCATTTAAACTCCATTTTTCCCTCATTCATTAATCAAAATGTCCTACAACATAGGCTTCATTAACACGAAACACGTCGGCAATAAATATTATTCATATTTGTTAATTATACAATTAGTGTTGCACATTTCTTAGTTATCAATGTGTGATTTCCGACATGTTTCTGCAGGAAAAAGTCTTCAAATTAAAATTAATAAATGGACTATTTTATTGCCCGGTGCATTTTGAGGAAAAAAAATCCATAGAAATCACTCCTGGTCCATTTATATTTTAATCCTTCAAAAATAATTACAACATGCAATTTGGTCATCATTTCCCCTTTTGATTCGGTATTCACAATAAAATGAGGTTACATTAACCTCAAACTTGATAGGAGGCTAGGTTATGAACATTTCAGTTGATGTGTTTTGAAAAACAAATATGAGACAACTCAACAAGGTAACAGAATCCAATGTCCGATAAACTGAAAGCGAATACATAAATGTATCAGTTCAAAGGAAGCAGATAAGATGGATCTCAAAGAAATAGTAATGTAAACAGAAATTCGTACCAATGTGAATATTGTATGACTACGGCTACTGAATAGGTTAAAGTTATTTGATCCAACATGTCGGTGCTCTGCAATTTGTATTAGATTAAAAGACAAAAAAGTGGTATGCCGTCAGATTAGAAAATTAGATATCTTTCACTACTTTTAGATTGGACTATGCATGTAACAAAAGAAAAAACAACTAAGATGCCCACCTTCCCCTGCAGCAATAAATGAAAGAGCATGTCCAGGTGATAAAACAACTTCTTCCTTTATGCCCTCGACGTAAGTTCCCTGAGCACATTAAGCACCGGTGAATTAAATGGCATAAGATGATGCAGATAAATTGCTTCAGATATCCGATATTGTATTAGTTCAACAAATACAAGATGCTAAGACAAAGAAAACTTAAGAACTTGCACGCTGAACAGACTCAGCACAAGGCAAGTACAAATTCTGTGAATCTTTAGAGTACTATAAAGTGTAAAGTAGCTCTCTAAGAGTTTCTAAATAGTAAAATGCAGTAATTGAAGTGCTTAGTAAGAAGTAACATAGTTCACGAGATTGTCCTATAATGTTGAAGAATAAGATTTATTACAACGACCAGATACACCGATACAAATTCTGGAAATTCTGGAAGAATAAGATTTATTACGTGTACACCAATACAAATTCTGAACACATCTGACATGTGTAACGGAAAAGGGAGAGAGATTTAGTGTGACAAAAACCTGTGCATCTTCTCTCACACGCAAATTCTGGCCAGTTGGATCCAGCAAGTCATTAATCACCTGATAGCAAAAATATAAGAGACATGACTTGGTGGATTTCCAGAACAATAATTAATGCTTAAATCTGCTAAGAAATCGATGTAAGAGTTTGAAGTGGCATGTGCACAATGGAAGTAGCGTAATCCTTTTATTAATTTTAGTGTAGAATAAACAACTTGCATCAGACATAAATAATTATGCGACAGAGTAAATTCGTGGAATTAAGTCATACTGTTAAAATAAGCTCACTGTAATAAGATACCGGAGATTTACTACTAACCTCATTGTAGATTTCAAGATATGACACTCGAAGTAAGAATTCACGTCCTGGAGTCTGAAAGAAAATAACAATCAGCCATATAAGCATTGAATATGAGATTCATTCTTTAATTAAATAATGCCTGAGTAAATGGAAAACATAACACAGGGGCACGTGTCAATTGTAACCGTTGTATTTTAAATGCAACGGACATATTTAAATTTCCAAGCCAATAAATTAGGTTGAAGAGAACTTACATCTTGGATTATGCTGAAAACATCCTTTATAGCCAACGGTATGACACCTGGTGAATTTTGATCTCCCTGATAAGAAATGTGTAGAAGAAAACATGAGATCCATTAGGAATCCCAAGACAAGCGAATAGAACAAAATGGCACTAGGGCAAGTTCAAAATTAGTTATCATAAATCATATTGAAGTGTGCAAATATACAATATCTCACGCTCAGTGCAAAAATGAACAATTTAAGGGCTCATTACACTAATGTGATAATACAACAGGCATCTAGGAGTCCCTTATATTCAAGAATGTTCCACAACCAATGTAGTCAAACAACAAGCATTTATTCATCCATTAATTTCAACATAAGATGCTAAAACCTCTATAAGGGGAGAAGAACACCGAAGCTGCTATTTCGAATCATTTCTTGAAAATGAGAAACTAATCAATAAAGACTAGCAAGTATACAAAAGTAGCACCATATTCACAAGACTTTCAGAATATTATATGCATGCAGTTAAGTCCTTCTGTCCTTCATACCATGACTTGCAACAAAAATTTAATGGGGATACAAAATTATTGGAGGATTTAACTTACATGCATGGTATGCGTCTTTCCACTACTGGTGACACCATAAGCAAATACAGTTCCTGCACATCAACTTGGACAAAGTTAAGTTGCAAAGACTTATGAGTGCACTTAGTCGGTCAATTGGTCAGCGGAGTTATGTTATCTCAAATGATAAACAATTGGCATCCAATAATTGTCCATACTCGGCAAAGCCTTAAATTGAAATTTAAGCAGTTTATTGCATACAACAAAACATTGAGAGTAATAGCAAGTTGAGCTTACCATTTACACCTTCCATTGCAGACTTAACTACTGGCCGAGCAGCTACTTCATACACTTCTTGAGTGTTCGTACTCTGCCCAAATACTCTATCTGACATACAAAAAATTAAAGAAGCTAAAGACACCACATCCTGATTAAGCAACAAAATAGACGGCAAAAATCTAGTGCTGATATTAATCAATATCTGGCAGTCACAATAATAATCAATCGTCTATTCTCAAACTTTGATAAGTAAGGAATTACTGAAATCTATTGCCTTAACATTGTTCCAACTTCAGGCATTTCAGAGCTGAAGTAGCGATAACTCATATATATACATATGATCAAAAAACAACAGGAGAGCTAAAGCAAAGAAGTTTACCAAATGCATACGCAGTCAATGGATTATACTCATTCCGCACCATTTTGTCACCATCTGCATACCATGCGATCTCATCTCCTCTTTGATATTCCCTTTCACTGTCACCCACAGCACAAAAATGTCAAAACATGCGCAAAATCAATTTCCCCCCAACTTCCTGACCCTAACCTCAATTTTGTTTTCCAAATTTAGAAGATCTTATATGGATTAGAAATCAGATCTATCACTAAATTCAAATTCACCTCAGAGGTCGAAATCTAATCGTCACTGAAATGCTATCCCCCGATCTCGAAGCAACTTCCACCGCCTCTCCAGTTAGCTGCTCTTGCATTAACGGATAACTCACCGGCGTTCGGCTTTGAGGATAATCTCTAGCTCGGCTCGGCGTCATGGATCTAGAGCCGTAACCTCCTCCGCTGCCGCTTCCGCCGCCGCCACTACCGCCGCCGCCGTGAAACGACGTCGCCGAGGTGGAGCACGACCGCGGCATTAGACGCCCGTTCATCATCGACGACGAGGACGATGTAGATGAGTACGGACTCGAAGGTTTCCGATGGCTGAAAGGTGAGCTGCTTCTTCCTCTAGAAGATGAAGCCGCCATTTCTCCCCTAAAAAAACAAATTAAACAACACTTCCCAATCTATCAATTTATGTTATTCATTCAGTGCGCTCCAGTAACCGTTTCTGTAAAAAAAATTAAAAAAAAAAAGGTAGGGAGAGGGGGAATGAAGTATGACGAAGAATGTGTCAGAAATCACATGGCGTGAATTCGAAAAGTGAAGAAAAATGTTTCGATTATTTTAATTTTGTTTTCTCCAGCAGAATTGCACTGTGTAGAAGAAGCTTCAGAAGAGAATAATATGTATCTATTCACACACACACACACACACACACACACATGCGTGTCCGTGTGTGAATGGAGGGTAGAGAGAGAAAAAACTTGGTTTCGGTTTCGTCTTCTTTAAGACAAAGAAGAGTTGCAGAGTGTAGAGAGAGAGAGAGAGTAATGAGTGAAGATGAGAGAGAGAGGTGGACTAGTGAGGAGCGAGAACGACTGGACTACTATTTTTTGTATTTGTTTTTGAATTTAAAAATAGTGCGGAAATTCGAATTCTCTAAAAATAATTAAAAAATTAAAAATGATAGTGTCAGAGAGTATTTCGTCGTGCCAGAGTATGGTACTACCGAAGAAGCAGACCGTGCAACACACGATTCATACTGCAAAGCGTATGATGACGTGGCAGTTCAAGTACAAAGAAAATTGAAAATAATTAAATTAAGAAAATTTGTATTAATCGTACAGTAGTCGGTAGCATCGGGGCAACTTTGTGAAACAAACTTCCCCACGCTTTTGCGTCGAACCACAGTGAATTGTAGTGTTTGGTACCGTAGAGGAATTTTATATATTTGAAAAAGCTGGCTGAAAATTTTAAGCGGAAATAACAGCGCCAAACAGCCGCTTTACAACAGTGAAATCTTTGGCAGTTTATCATTTAATTTACCGGGACAAAATAAATGTATTATTATTTATTCATTAATCGAAATTCGAATCTTTGTGACGAAAGCCGCACGCTCCCGCATAACTCGACAACTTCCCAACCATATGCGAACGGTCGGAGTTACAGAATTACCCTCGCGTACGGAAGAATTGAATTAGACGTAAGATCCATAAAGCAACAACCCATACATATATTTATAGGTAACTTACACTTATACCCTTAAAGTATATTAAAATAAATTTAAGATCATTGTAGTATCGGTAATTACAATCAGCCCCTGAAACATTGTTAGAAACCTTAATTGAATAATGCATTGGATGAGTTATTCTGTTAGGGTTCTACGTGACTATTAGTTTCAGCCAAGGATAGAGACAACATAGAGTTACGAGATGACATGGTTCTTTCAACATTTCTTAAATCGTTAATATTTTATATAATATTTAATTATTTATAATTTTTTGTCTAAGGTAGCATTAATGGCCCTGCGGAGACAAATATTGTGCATATCAGTCTCTAGGACATGAAATTTTGACTTCGATAATTGTTTCAGGGGTATGGTTGTAATTACCAATACTAGAGGGACCTTAATTTGACAAACATATGGGGTGTAAGTGTAATTTACCCATAATTATATAAATACCGTAATGCAATGATGGCCTAACGGCTAGAGTAACAAAGCTTGAGTCAAATGACACAAGTTCGAATTTTCTTGTCAACCATTGTTAGATCAAGTCTGTCACATTCACATATAGTTAGTCTAGTGTCTAGTGTAATTTACTTATCTCAAATGATTTACAAATTATTATACAATAGTGTAGGTTTACTCAGTACCTCTTTAATATCGATTTATTTTGCATTTAATAATTTGCACAATGCATGTGAATGTTTGGAGGATTAGGTGCACCAATAAATATGTATATGTTGTGAAATAATTCCCATTAGCTCAATATAGTATAAACACTAATGGTGTGAGTATAATTAATTAATCAATACTAACTAGTTATTAATATGAAACTAATATATATATATATATATATGTATTTGTGTATATACGGGTTATGTATATATGTATATATATACACTCTATATAATATAATATAATATACTACACTATATAATATAATATAAATATTATACACAATATAATATAATATACTATGTGTGCATAGAGAATGTGAGTGGGATAGATAGAGAGTGTGTGTGTGTGAGGAGAGAGAGAGTAGAGAGATAAAAATGCTAGCAAAATGTGTATTTTTCTCTTATTCATTTCAACACAAAATACAAGTATTTATAGGCATGAGAATGCCTTAGTCACCATTACACATGTCATTACTTGATAACTTCTATAGTCTAATTGTGACACCTATCTAGGACACTTGTCATACTATAAATTAAGTGATATAGTCCATAATATTATAACACTCCCCCTTGGACGTAGCACTATTGTATCGACTGAATTAATGCCTCATTAAAAACCTTAAGCCGGAAAACCCAGTGGGAAAAACCGATCAGAAGGAAAAAAGAGTGCATGACTCAAATCCAAGTCGTGTGCATAAGCTGCCTCGTTAAAAACCTTAGCTGGAAAACCCAATGGGATAAAAACCAGTCGTAAGGGGAAAAAGAGTGTAACGCACTATTGCTCCCCCTGAAATGAGCAATATAATCCCCCAATATGGGCTATCAATCAATTTGTAGGTTGTCTCATTAAAAACCTTGAGCTGGAAAACCCTATGGGAAAAAACCAGTCAAAAGGAAAAATAGTACAACACATCATAGCATTATGTGCTCACCCTGAAACAAATAATATAGGCCTCCAAATGGGCTATTTAATAATCATAAGTTGCCTCGTTAAAAACCTTATGTCAGAAAAACCGCATGGGAAAAAGACCGAACAAAAGGGAAAAAGAGTGCAACATATTATCACTTCGTCTTTGCTTTACGCATTTTAAATCCACAGGAGTATAACAAAATTCAGTGAACCATAAATATGACATTAGAATGTCTGTTAGAGGTATGTCCATTCCCTCATGGACAACCCTAAGAAACGAAAGTTGATAGTATTCATAACCAGTAAATACATCTAATATAATCATTCCCATACACTGGGAAGAATCAATATTTTTGACAAGGCACACATTATACCGAACAATTTTGTTGTCATTATTCCTCTTACGAACAAAACCCCATCTATATCCAGGGAGTTTATATTGTTCGGAGTTGGTACCATTAGTCCGTATTTATTTCGTTTCTCTATGAAAGTCAATTCCGATTTAATCGCTTTCTCGCATTTAGGCCAAACTCGGCTCAGTCGACATTCTATTTTTTGAACGTGGTTCACTGGATTAATCATCCCGAAATTTTATAATTGTAATTGCCCTTAGTCGAGAGGTTAATCTCTACATATTTATCCGGAGCATGTTTATTATGACCCGTTTATTCAGTGGATTCAATTAAACCATATGAATGTGAGCGTGTGCTACAAGGTACTGAGTATATTTATCCCATGTTCTGCACAATCTTATCAAAATTATTTTGATCGAGTTATTCTGGCACTATCCATTCTCATATGCCCGGGGTATAGTAACTTGTGCAGAAAACGTGCAAAATCATATTGCATGTATAATAAACACACGCGAGACCATTTATAAGATGCTTCTCACAAAATCATAAATATTTAAAATATTGGTCCACTTAGAATGTTGCATTGGTCCATAAATATTATCAACCCTTTTTGCACAAAAGGTTATATAACGAGATTTCTATAAATTACAGAAATTCTCTGTGGACATAAGGATCCTTATATCGTACGAATGTCCGTAGTATATTCTTTATTTCATGCCACCATAATATTTTATGGGCGTCCCCATATTAACATGTCAAAACCTGAATATTTCAGGATTAACTAGTTTATATGACATGGTGGTGTATGAATTGAAAACTCGAATTAGGACACAATACAATACAAGAGCTAATGCTTTTAATATCATAAGCAGAACAATTGTTTATTCCCAGAGCCATAATCTCTGCGGAATGTAATTTAGTTTTAGTTCGTGCTTTGCGCAATATCACACTCAATAAAATTTAAAATATATTAAATTGTCAATTAGACTAATACATAGTCCGGGGAGATACTTAAACTCAACCTCGGGAATATATATTTCAGGGGAGATATGCAAACTCTACTTTAGGAATATTTCATCTGAAGGAGAACTTCTAAAATTTGACCTCGTGAATATGTCACTCGAGGATGATATGTAGCTTATCTTAATCTCGGGAATCAATCCAAGAAAGATATGCATGTAGCTCAATTTCGAAGTTCAAAATATAATATATAGACAATAGTCTATTATGTTTGTGTTTCACATGTACATCCATATTAAATAATATGTCCATAAAATGCTAACTTAATCTTGGGAATTTAACATCCAAGAGAGATACATAATTTCAACCTCGAGAATTTTTCGTTCGATGGTGTTTTGCAAACTGGATCCCGGGAATTTAACATCCGAGAGAGATATATACATGTTACACAATTAGTAGACATATTGAATTAACTTTGAAATACTACCAATATCATCAGGGGTGTATAAACTCGACCTTGAGAATATTTCTTCCAAGGGAGTTTTACTAACTTAAATTCGGGAATAAATCGTCCGAGCTTAGAGAGTCGTTAATTTTTATTTGGGGAATATATAATTAAGCTCGACCTCAGGAATGTATCGTCCGAGGGAGATATTATAAACTCGATCTCGGGCATATGTCGTCCGAGAGAGATATATAAATTTTATCTTAGAAATTAACTCAATCTCGGGAATAAAATCATCCGAGGGAAATATTTAAATTTGACGTCATTTATATTTATCTCGAGAAAATATTATAGGCTCATCCTCGGGTATATATCGTCCGAGGGAGGTATGCTCATAAATAAATAAATTCAATCTCGAAAACCATTACATCGAGAGAGTTATATCGTAATCATTAAGAATATTATCATGCATGATCTCAAATATATAACATTTACTCATAGGACAGAATATATTTTGTAGGCAATAAACTCATGAATTTTAATTTATTTTGACCAAATGATTATCTGGGCGGAAATATTTACATCCACCTTGGTCAATTTAAGAACATCTCGACGAGGACTATCTTTCACTTCGTCGTTGTAGGTCTAACCCCATATTTAATTTTATTATGACATTTTGTTAGACCCTTAACAAAAATGTCCATTGTATATATGGGTACCGCACCCAATTATTTTTATTTTAATAGCCTCATTGTCCTTTGAGGGGAATCACAACTTTTAGGCAATGTTTGGAACTGTTTTTATTTTGTTCTCATTGTTTCCCCAAAACAAAATGGGATTTATTACACTTTTCAAATTATTTTCTCAAAACAATTTCAAAAGTTTCTCTCTCCTCCAGACATGATGTGACTGCTACAGTAAAATGATTTGATTGCTACAGTAAAAAATGTCTTCACTAAAAAACAAATAAACATCACTTCACCTTTCAATTTTCTTCTTCAAAAATATCTTTTTCTAACACCTTTAAACATGATTTGACTTCTACAGTGTATTTTGTCTCCTTCTAAAATACAAACAAACATTACTTTCATTCTCAAATTATTCCCCCAAAACATATTTCCTCAAAATGAAATCAAAATAAGATCCAAAACGGGTCCAAACATTGCCTAAGTGACTCTACGGGCATCACACCCGGAGTTATATTTTTTATTTCTATATCGGCCATTATCAGGGACTACGACGTCCACCATCTCTACGAACATTATGTTCGGAGTAATATCATGGGCTTTAAATCGACCCTTGATTTGGACTCCTATGCGACAGAGTCATTTTCATTTCTCATTATCTAAATCAGCCCATTTTCTTTTGCTAATTTAAATAAGATTATTAAATAAATATATCAAAACTTGCACATCCCAATTACAAGTTTCTAAATTTACAAAATCAAGATTATGCACTGCAAGTTGAAAATTCATAGCCGAGACAAGAGATAATAACCTTTTTTTTTTCTCATAAATTAACATGCACATAATTATAGATATATATCCTTCCTTTCCTCCGAAAAACGGTGGCGTATAAATACCGTAGTATTCGCTTCACCTTTTGATATCAAGGATCTGGATTTTATCAAATAAAATAAAATAACATAAACAAACTTACATAACCTACCTTTTTTCGAGCAGAACCTCGTGCTGATAATGTGTTGTGAAATAATTCCCATTAGCTCAATATAGTATAAACACTAATGGTGTGAGTATAATTAATTAATCAATACTAACTAGTTATTAATATGAAACTAATATATATATGTATTTGTGTATATACGGGTTATGTATATATGTATATATATACACTCTATATAATATAATATAATATACTACACTATATAATATAATATAAATATTATACACAATATAATATAATATACTATGTGTGCATAGAGAATGTGAGTGGGAAAGATAGAGAGTGTGTGTGTGTGAGGAGAGAGAGAGTAGAGAGATAAAAATGCTAGCAAAATGTGTATTTTTCTCTTATTCATTTCAACACAAAATACAAGTATTTATAGGCATGAGAATGCCTTAGTCACCATTACACATGTCATTACTTGATAACTTCTATAGTCTAATTGTGACACCTATCTAGGACACTTGTCATACTATAAATTAAGTGCTATAGTCCATAATATTATAACAGTATAGCATTTATATGTTTAATCGGTTTGATTACCTTCTAACACTTACATAAATTATTTATTGGTGTATTCCCCATTTTGCCCCTAGTATAATTATGTTCAAATATAGAGACATGATCGGCTTAATCCCAAATTTACGAGCCAATGCCAAAGCCCAATACTAATTGGGTATAGGCACAATTCACATGCCCATATTAAGTAGTGTGTGATGGGCCAATATTCGGCATGAAAAATATGGTATGGGTTGGGATAAATGGACCATGCCTAGCAAGCTAATATTTTTATTTGGTTTTCCAATTGCAAAGAACCAATTGTAACGAAGATTCTACATCTGGTGAAATACACCAGCTATATATATATATATATATGAACGCATGTAAATACATACATTAACATTGAGGTATGTGTATTAACGATAAAAATTCACTTGGTATAACCTACAACGACTGTAATATAGAAATAACCTGTAATTAGGAATATATTAGTAGAAAAATGATTTTTTTACTACGACCATTGACCGTAGCAAAATGTGTTAAATTCGTAGTAAAAAGACGTTTGCTACGAATTTACCTCGTAGCATATACAGGCGTAACAAAAATTTTAATACGGTAAATCCTAACATTTACTACGGCTCCAAGATGTCCCGTAGTAAAAGGTATTTTTTTATACAACTTTTTACCGTGACCAAAAAAATTCTAGTAAAAAACCGTTTTTCTACTATATCCTTATTAATTAACTAATACTAAATCTAGTGAGAAATTTTATGGAATTGGATATATAATAAATCTGAAATCTTCATAATGTCCACGAGATATATAATTAGATCACCTGAAGTAGTTGTAGTAAGATCCGAGCTAGATGGTCCCGCGATACTTGCTATCTGAGAACACGTAACTAGGCCAAGGGTTGATCCGACGAAAACCCCTCAAACGCTCAAATTAAACGTGTAAATTGTAAAGCTGTAGAGAGAATTCAGAGAGTAGTATTACTAGAATATTGAGCTTACCTTAACAAATGAGTTAAAATTTTATTTATAACTCGTTGGTTAGGCTGAAGTTAATTAGTTGAAATTGTAGAACTCAAACTTTATATGAAGATGATTGGGCTTTTGTTGAAGTTGCTTTAAATTTTGGCTCGTGCCCAATAAATTAATAAATTGTAGACTCATTAGACTATCCCAATTATGCATATCATTAGTCCACAGTTGAACAATAATTATTCGACTCAATTATATTTAATTGATTAATTATGAATTACTAGTAATTAGTAAAGAAACGAAGAAACAAAATTCATATCCCAACTCTGATTCAACAGACACGTGTCATTCATTCCAATTTTAATTCTTATTTTAGTAAATCTCAAACCCCAATTATATATATAATTCACCCCACAACCAAACAGTCCATCTTCTCTCCCACTCTCTCTCTCTCTCTCTCTCTCTCTCTACCATCCATTAAAGAAGCTTCATTTAATGAAGCAGCTGCAATAACTCTCCCCAAAAACTCCTCCGCCATAAATACTTCTCTTCTATTTTTTCATTACAATGAAAAAACAACATTCTTCAAAACCCCTCAACCCATTTGCAGCAGAGTACAACCCAATACCCCCGGGAATCTCGCCGGACCCACATGCTCCGCCGCCATTTTTCTTCCCGCCGCCGCCCACCACCACCTCCCCCCGGCCGCCGTCCCTCGAACCATTCCCACAGCCACCTCTCTTTCTCTCTTCTCAAATATTCACCTACATACCCTCACCAGAACCTATTTACACACACTACACAGCTTACTATGTGAACCCTTCACCACCACCACCACCGCCTCCACCGCCGCCACAGTCTCCGGCGAGAGCTTACCATGGGCAGCCCGGAAGAGGGCAAAGAGGAGGGTTTCGTTTAGGTTTCGGGAGTGGGAGAGAGAACCACTACTCTCACAGTAGTTACAATAGATATGAAAAAAATAAAAAAGTAGCAACAAAAAACAGTGACAAAAATAGCGACGGTTTCTACAGCAAGTCGTCACTCCGTCGGAATAACATGCAGATCAGACAAAAAGAAACAAGGCATAAAGTTTTGCCTCTTAAACTCGATGAACAGAAATATTCAACAATCATGATCAAGAACATACCCTATAGTTGCCCGTATATATTTTTTCCTTCAATTCTCTTATTTAATTTAATTTTTTTGATTTGTTTCTTATCTATATATAGTTTTAAATTATTAATTTATTGGTGGCAGTCGGAAGTATTTGATAGAGTTCTTGGATGAGTTCTGCGCACATGAAAATGCAAAGAAGAAAGATGCAGAAGGTACTTCACATGAAGAAACAGCAGCCTATGACTTTCTCTACTTGCCAATGGATTTTAGGTATACTTCACTTAAACTTAGGTCTATAAATTATAAATTAATACAGTCGTCGCTTGCAAAATATTATTAATTTAGCGAAATATTAAAATTATCGAAGTAGTAATTTAATACGTTTTTACCGAATAGGGATGAGTGTGAGAAATAATTATTTAATTGCGATTATTAATTTAATTTGTCAAAATATTAAATCATCGAGGAGTAATTTAATACGTTTTTTTACTAAGTCGGGACCGATCGAAGTTATCAATTTAATTTAGCGAATAGTAATTTAATACTCCTCGATATAATTTAAGCTAGAGTTATTAATTTCAATCATTATAATGTACTTAAATAAAACCCCCTACTTTTGATTTTGTAATGATTATATTTGTTTGGTTTAAATTTGTTGAGTCGTCCGTGCATGATTCGAGGAATATTAATTAATTAAATAATGTTTTTTGAATAATATTTGGATTAATTTATGATATTAGGACAAAGAACAGCAGAGGGTTTGCATTTGTGAACTTCACCACAGCTAGAAGTGCTTCCAGATTTTCCGACATTTTTCACCAGAAAAAGTATTGGGATTTCGTTCGGTTTGATTTATGGCCCAAGAAGATCGAAGTTGCACGTGCCGAAATCCAGGTTTATAATTAAAAATATATATATATTCAAGGTTTTTAATTAATTTGAGTTTGATTAAAATATAATAAATTATTTTGTGAATGTGAATGTGTGTGTAGGGGAAGGAAGCGGCGGTGAAGCACGCAGAGGAGAGCAGTTATGAGTGTGAGACGGATGAGTATCTGCCGGTTTGTTTCGACCCGCCTAGAGATGGGTCGGGTCAGCCGGTTCAGATGACCGTCATCGGAAACCGTAGAGGCGCTGCTTCTTCTGCTGAGTATTATTATTGGGAACCACGTCGCGATAATAATCATCATTAGTTTTAAGGCGTAGCTAAATGGGGAATAAATTTTCTGCATGCAGCATACAGCCCAAAAAGTAATGATTATACTGCTGCAGTTAAGCTGCTCTCTCTCTCTCCTCTTTCTCTCTCCTCTCTCTCTCTCTCTCTCTCTATATATATATATATATATATATATATATGTTCTCTTTCTCTCTCTACATGTTGTATGAATTTGGTATTTCTGAGTTTTACACATCAAGCCAGTTTGATGTATAACTCTTAAATACCATATCCTTGGTAAAAAAAAGTTTCATGGTTTAGTGTTTGTATGAGAGAGAGAGAGAGAGAGAGAGGCAAGAAAGAGTTTATGCTGTTAATTTGTAGCACTAGAGCTTTATTAATTCCTTGTGTATCTCTGCTCTGAGTAATTCGTCATAGATCAATGGAGTCTTTTTTTTCCTTATTTTTAATTAGGGTTTTGTTTGTTCGATGAAATTAATGTCGAGTAGAATGTAACGGAGTGTGGTGGATCTTGGCACCTGGATATGCTGATGATGACAAATATCCTATTGCATTTGGAGGTGGTGGGGTCCACCACCCCTTACATTGAACTAGGTTTAGGGTTGTATGTATTTTCGCTGTCACTAATTATTTAGGACGTAATATATATTATTATCTCAGTTCCACTGTTTGTACTATGATTAATTCGCACAGTACTTTGTCATGTGTTGCCTTCGTCTGATTTGTATATGTTTTTCTATATTTAGCTAGTTCTTATGCTTATGCTAATTTACTGTCTCTTTCCCATATACATATCCACAGATATATATGTATATATATACATACATTATACATACATACTCCTCTGTTTTACTACATTTTATTACACTGAGAAATGATTTTCTTGGAGAAGGCAAAGGAAAGCTTTTACATATACCTGTTCTTTTCTGGGACTTAATTTGACAGTTGACAAAATCTTTTTCATTCATCTTTTCATACAATAATTGTTTCATCTTTTTTTCTTTACTTTGTTTTTCTGACATATATGCACCTTTTTGTGCGTGTATATATATATATATATACACACACACACACACACACACACACACACAGCCACTGAGAATCTCAGAGAGGCATTTATACATGAGGAAGGAAGTTGAATTGATTTTTTTTTTTTTAAATAAATAAAAATATAATAAGAAATATAATACATGTGTCATAATTTTATTTCAATGTCAAGATTAATTATTGTAACTTATAATATGGATGTGCATGGTGGATTTTTCGTGTTTAAGTAAACAACATCATTAGATATTTGAAAATGAGTATGGGGCTAATAATATATATATTGAGGTGTATATATGTAGGCTCCTTTGTCACTCCAACCTCTCTAAATACTAGCTAGGGTTTTTTTAGGTTCATCATTGTTTGCTTCCTTGATTGATTTTACACTTCCCATTTCACTTTGATTTGACAAATATATTATTTATATAATGATTTAGGTTTATTTCCTGATATCATTCTAATATTTTAAATATAAAAATAAAATTAGTTTTAGTATTTTCTTTAAATTTAAAAAAATCTACAAACTAATCGATCAATTCAACTGGTATTTTGAAGTTCTATTACTTTTTTTAATATATACTATAGTCTATATATATATATATATATATATATATATATATATATATATATATATATATAGGGGCTATATGCCAAACACCCTTTATTGGGATTTTAATTCTTGATAAATCCTTTATATATAAATCATATTTGAGATAAATCCAGTGGGCCTGAAAAATCAAATATGCCCCCACTAATTATTAATTAATATAATTATTTACTTAAAAAAAGATTATACCCATAATCTCCACCCAAATCTTCTCCAAAAATTATTCCACTCATCACGCCAATTCAGTTTTTTTTTCCCTTTCTTTTTTATTTTGTTTAATGGTTTTCTTTATTTCAATTTAAAAGAAAATTTTGTAATTATTTTATTATTTATCTTTTTATTTTCGGTTTTTTATTATAAATTATTTTTTTTCTTATTTATATTTTTCATGTTTTTTTATTTTAATTTAAAAAATGGTTTTTTTTTTCGTTTTGTCATGGTTTTTCTTTTTTCTTAATTTCAAATTTTTTAAAAAATATTTTTTTTTCTTTCCAATTTTTTTAAATAAAAACCACTATAAACATGAAAACCACTCTGTATAAACATGAAAACCACTTTGTATAATAACTATATAACATGAAAACCACTTTGTATAACAACTATGTAAACTTGAAACCACTATGCATAAGAACTATGTCAATATAAAAACCACTATGTATATACAATTATATAAAAATCTATACAAATATTAATGAAAACCACTATAAAAATTCTGAAAACCACTTCATACTTTCAGTCATTTATAAATCTATCGAGACCTTCACCTCAAAAAAAAAAAAAAATCTATCGAGACCCACTACGATAGGGTGTCCACTAATTGGGCGTAATCCAATTAGGGCATCATTAGGATCAAATACAAACTGGATAGCAATTTAGGGCTATTGCAATTACAAATTGAATCCCAAACAAAAAGCTAGAAATCAACTAGCCCGCATCAATTCAAATACGGCGACCAAAAAGGAAAGAGCATATAAGAGGAGACGAGTCTGAACTGTGAAGCGAGAGAGATGAATCGATAAATTTAGGGAGAAGTAATGTTAGGAAGTAAAGCTTCAACGGCGTCGTATGAAGATCTGGGTAGACAACGACGATTTGGAGAAGAAAGGGGTTGCTGGCTTAGATTCTTTGTTTATATTTTCGGCGGGCAGAAAAGATAGGCTCGGCGGCGGCGATGAAGAAAATTGAGAGCAGAGCAGCAACATTAAAGAAAAAAAAAGGATGAGAAAGAGGTGAGGTTCAACCGAAAACTCCTAAGAAAAGAGGGATTGAGCGACGGCGGTGAACATAAAAGGAAAAGAATTGAGAACATACTGTGAGCGGTGGAGAGAGATACGAGATAGGAGAGGGGATAAAATGGCGTATAAAATTATAATTGAATTATATAAATTAATATTAAATAATAGTCAAATAGATATAAGGGTATAATTGTGAAATTATATTAATTCTTATTAATTAAAAGGATTTTGGATTTATCTTAAAAATGAAAAAAAACTTTGGACTCATTGTAATGGGAGGAGTCTAGTGAGGGGTCTTTGTCAAATAATCCCATATATATATATATATATAGAGAGAGAGAGAGAGAGAGAGAGAGAGAGAGACTATAGTATACATGCACACACAGACGTGCACTTTGTAAATTTCGCTCCATGCATAGTGCACAAGTTATGTTAAAGGTTAAAATTGCACCGGGCAAGTGTAGTGTGACAAGTTCGACCAAGAAAGTAAATTCCCGAGTTAGGTAGTTAAATTTCGTGTTTCGTTTACTCTACCAATTAGGTCATTTTTGCCGATAAAAAATAAGGTTTTATTAAGTGACTTTGAAGGAAAATATTGAGATATTATTATTGAAGGATTAGAAGATGGGCTTTTTTAACCCTTTGAATTGTATGGATCCGGCAATAATTCACCATAATATTGGGCTACCTTATCTAGCAAGATTGACCCGACCAACCCGAACCGTTACATATGCCACTTCGAAATAAAAAGACGAGATATATATATATTAGGGTAAATTACACACAACACCCTTAGAGTATGTTCAAATAACTTTAAGGTCCCTATGATATTGTTAACTACAACCACACCACTAAACAATTACCGGAGACAAGATTACATGTCATGGGAACCGATATGTACTGTATTTGTTTTCCTCGGGGCTGTTAATGCTACGATAGACGGAACTTTATAAATTTATATAAAATAATAAGGATGTAGGAAATTTTAGCAGAACCATGTCACCCCTTAGCTCAATGTTTCTCCACCACTATTTGAAACATAGAACACTAATGGAATAAGTTATCCAATGCATTATTTCGTTAGCATTTCTACAATGTTTAATATGACTGATAGTAATTACCGATACTACAAGGATATTAAAATTATTTTAGCAATCTCAGGGTTGTATGTATAATTTACCCATATATATATATATATATATATATATATATATATATATATATATATATATATATATATATATATATATAAAAGAAAAATTACAATCACATATGTATGTTTGGTAAACTTCGCTTTTGTTACAATTAGACGCTGCTGCAATTTTCTTAGCCGATTCTTATTAATGTGAAATGGAGAAATTCGTACAACTTCCGGTCCAACTTGTATAGCTTTGTGGTGAGGATGGCCGGCCGGCAGCGACCATTGACAGCTAAGAACAATAATATCAAAATTTTGTTACTAATTATTTTTAATTAAAAAATAATTAAAAATTTATTTTAATCAAAAGTTTTTAATTAAAAAATTAAAAAGTTTTTTCAATGTTTAACAATTGTTTTGCTCCAAATTGACTTGAAAACGTAAAGCTTCAACAGGGGTGTGGGGTATATTCTTATAAATATTCCAAATCAAGATTTATGCATTTAGATTAATTTTCTTTTAGAGTTTTAGGTGATTAATGCGCGTTGATAAAAGAAGAATATTTCATTATCTTTGCCTTGGCCAATATACGTGTGAAGTCAAAATGTATACATTGAAATCAAAAATTAACTATGATGGGCCCACACTCACATGCTCATATAGACTATGAATGGCCCATACCCTATATGACCTAATCAAAATCGACTAAAAATAATAATATAAGTTTAAATTGGCTAAGACCCAAACTGATCTAAATAGTTAGGACAAAGTCGGCCATGTTAAGTCGTTTAGGTCCATGAAAAGATCTCTCTCCATATAAATACCTGAAATCCTTACAATCGAGGTACGTAATTCATAACTCCTGAACAATCTTTTAAATTCTATGAATTTTTATATCATAAAGAGTTAACTTGAGCGTCGAAGGGTGGTCTCGTCGCCGTAATGATTGTTTGTGTGCGGATAGTGCTCACGTGAGAAATCAAGAAGTGCGGAGGAGGAATTGCAAAACGTTGGAATCGTACCACATCAAATTAATACCACATTGAAATTTTTGTGATAAATATCGTTTCAGTTTTAATAATATCGTGTTCACTTCAAATGTCATTTTAACTATTCTCAAGATTGACTTTGGCAGAACACAGAACACCGAGTTTACAACTATTTGTGTTGACTCTTTAATCCAAACTGAATCAAGAAGATTGGAAGACAGAGTGATAAACGTTCTAAATTAAATCAATAATAGTAAAATTGGATCGAATTTTAAATTTCAATCGTGACAAATAGAAAATCAATTTAACGGACGATCACTTAAATATAGTACAATCCTAGTTTGTCGTGTTCATTTATTTTATATATATAAAAAGTTGAAATGAAAAATCACCTTAATATTTTCCATGTGAATGGAAATTAGACAGTATAAAACGATTGAAATTTGTAACCACCCCATTGAATTTCTTGCCTTTGCCCATGGAAAATAGCAATAACTAATCCAATGAAATTTATGTTGCTCATTTGTCGAAAAATAAATAAATTTAATAATAAAATAAAAACCATGATACTGCTAAAGAATTAAATAATAAAAATAAATAAAGAATAAAATCATGCTGAGGGGCGGAGGGTAAATACGACGACGTTTCAATCTGAAAATAAGAATAAATGAAGACTGCCAAACACGACCTTACACGTCATCCCGACAATAAGGCCTTGTTTGGCAACTGTTAAACCAGACATTAAATAAGCTTACAATAAATAAGCATAAAATACTGCTTCGTCAAATATTTCAGCCTCTTCAATTTCTTTAACCCACCTCACACATTTTGCACACACAACACGCAAACAAAACAGTCTCATTTTTTCCACATAAAACACACACACACACACACACACACACACACACACACACACATTACAACTATATATATATAAAATATACATACACTAATCGACACCACTGAGTCCACCATTATCGAATCAAAACCACTTCAAAAAAGCTGCCGAAAGTGCGGAATGCTGTTTATTGTACTGCGTTTAAATTGAAGGATATTTGTTGCGAACTTGAATATTTGTTGGCGTTCGATTCGTTGTATTGTGTTCAAAATCCATCGGTTTCTGTATCAGTAAGAAATTTCTTCAGCCGGAGCTTTCGAATTTTGATATGTTTTTTTTTTTTGGATCGATTGTGAATTTTGATAGTATTTGCGGTTTTGGTGTCGAGCAGGATAAAAATGGTGAGTTTGCGTGCGATTTTAAAGCACCCGGATGATTTGTATCCGATGGTGAAGCTGAAGCTGGCGGCGAGAAAGGCGGAGAAGCAGATCCGATCGGAGCCGCACTGGGCGTTTTGTTACAGTATGCTTCTCAAAGTTTCTAGAAGCTTCGCTTTGGTTATTCAGCAGCTCGACACTGATCTTCGTGATGCCGTCAATTTCTCTCTCTCTCTCTCTCTCTCTCTCTCTCTCTCTCTCTCTCTCTCTCTCTCTCTCTCTCTCTCTCTCTCTCTCTCTCTATTTATATTTTAAAAATTGCGGTTACTTGTATTGTTCATCTGTTGTAGCTTTTGTTGTCTCTGGAAAGGTTCGGCTAATTTTCTAGCAGCTGTCACGCATGCAGTTATTAAATACTTGATTGAAATTTGAATGTGTATTTTTAATCAGCTCCAATGCACGAGTTCAATTCTATGGCCGATACACAATTTGCATTAGTATAAACAAAATCCGATAGAACAAACAGAGTTACTAGTAGAAGTTCTGAAAAATGAGAGAGATTATTGATTCCATCTACTAAAATTGATGTTATGACCCTTAAACTGTTTCATGTCATATCCTGGAAGAGTTGATGTTTTGATTATTGACTTGCTAGAAAGTCTCTGTATGTATTTCACCTGTGCAAAAATTAACTTCATTGTAAACTTCTTCGACTTTGCAGGTATGCATTTTCTATTTGGTTCTTCGAGCACTTGACACAGTTGGTAAGATCTCTATTAATAATTTTGTTTTAGTCAATCATTAAGTTGTGAAAGAATTGCTCCTGAAAAACATCCCTGCATAACTCGTCTTCCTATCGTCTTAGTGATTAAATCATTTAAGAATGCCTATTGGTCAAGCTATTTTGTGTTATGATCAATTGTGATTTGTGAGGGTTGTAAATTTGGATTGACCTTTATATACTTGTTGTTCTAGTATGAGTGCATTATTTTGAAACATGTTGATTCACCTCCTAGCATTATAATAAAGAGTTAGAAACATGGATGAACGTCAGAAACCCCAACAGCTCGTTTGCAGAAGACAGAGGTGACATTTACTTGTCTTCTCCAGACCTTTGATTCTCCTCATTTCTAGATGGATCTGAATGTATTTTCAGGAGGAACCAATACTTGATGCCTATTACCTGAACATTAACATGGCAGCATATTATTCATCGTTTATGGATTACCATTTTTCATCGCCACTATCTAAATGACATTTTCGTGCTTGGTTATTCATTTGACAGAGGATGATACAAGCGTAGCTACGGATGTTAAAGTGCCCATTCTGATGGATTTTCATCAACACATATATGACCGTGAATGGCATTTTTCATGTGAGTTTTCATGTTCGGACTCAAATTTACTTGGTGTTCTTTCAGCTTTTCAATTTAAGATATTCAAGGGCAATGTAAGGGACTAAGGGTTCCCTCGTATTTTTCTAACTTCTGTTTTTTGTTTATTTTTTATGGCATATACGTTAAGGCTTTTGAACTACTGCATTGCTTTCTGGTCACTAGCCAAAAGAACTGTGTTTTTTTGGCTCTAGTTCATATTGTACATATTTTATCCCATATCATGTCCAGAAAGAAAAGAAAAGAAAGAGAAGGACACAAATACTAATATATCTTCAACTTTACCACAGTAAATTGTGTATAACTAATAGCCTGTGGTTGGAATTTAATCATTGAAAGCGTCGGCCAATGTATCTAACAATAGATATGGACTGTAAATATTGGTTCCAATTTGGATTTTTCCTTGGTCAATCATTCATTCAAAATGAGTATGCACTCTACTATGCGTCTGATATCTTTTATGCTAAGTCAATGGTAGGGCATCTTGAATCTACTGCATATCTTGCTTTTTATTTGCTATCGTTAGCAGCACCAAGGTTAAAAAATAAAATGCTGAGCCAGTTGTCTTTTAGAAAGTGGAATTCAGCTCCCACTAATATGCTATCTTTCCCTTGCATGGTCAGGTCAAAAAACTGTTAGAATTTCGATCAGTTTCAGCTTAATATGCACCTTTGATATGAAACTGCATGGTTTATATTGTTGCTGCTGATGATGTTTCACCATGTACACACACATTCAAGAGAAAGCACATGCTAAAATGTTTTTGGTCTAACATAAGAATGTTCTATTCAATTCTAAACAATCCTTGACAGGTGGTACAAAGGAATACAAAGTTCTCATGGACGAGTTCCATCATGTATCAACTGCTTTTCTGGAGCTTGGAAGCGGGTATATCCATACTAGCAATATTTTTTTTTTGTGATTTTAACAAATTGACTCACTAAGTCGGTAATATAGCATGTATTATTCAACATGTTTTTTTTTTTTTATCAAATAAATACAATTTATGATTAATCTTGTGAAGGCATGCATATTTGACTTCTAATAGAATTTGGCTTAAACATTATCAGTTCTATGAAATTGGTAATAATCCTGATTACTGGTTAAGTGCTCATGGTAATATTTCTGTGCATGAGAGATGATTTACATTCTCTTTTGCAGTTATCAGCAAGCAATTGAAGATATTACCATGAGAATGGGTGCAGGAATGGCAAAATTTATTTGCAAAGAGGTATGTACTAGAAATATCACACTAAGGTGGTTTGTCGGCAACTCTGACATAATCTTGAAATGAATTACCTGGATTTTAAAATGTCTTTTCATGGAATCTAGAGAATATATAATAAAATACTGTTCGATTGCTTCTTTACATTGACTCTATTTCTTGAAAAAAAATGAAATAGTGCTATTTCTGTTGCCATTACATATATGATAATAAATTTGGATGGGTTAACATGAGTTGATTTTATGTTACGACAAATTGATGAACAATAAATTGATAATAGATGATTATGGATTAGGAATCTTTCATAACACACTTGAGGTCAAAGACTCGCTCTATACTCGACATAAATTTGTCTTTTTTTTTTTCTCTTGCCAGGTAGAAACAGTTGATGATTACGATGAATATTGCCACTACGTGGCTGGGCTTGTTGGGCTAGGGTTGTCGAAGTTGTTCCATGCTTCTGGAAAAGAAGATCTGGCTTCAGATACTATCTCTAACTCGATGGGTTTATTTCTTCAGGTATAAATCATTATATGCAGCAATCATTTTAGTACTCAGTCTACTTACTATATAGATCCCTCACATTTGTAACTCTAATCTAATATTTGTATTACTTATTTGAAACAATTGCAGAAAACAAATATCATCCGAGACTATCTAGAAGATATCAATGAGATACCCAAGTCTCGTATGTTCTGGCCTCGCCAGATTTGGAGTAAATATGTTAACAAACTTGAGGTATATTTCTTTTATTGCTTCATGTAAAAAAATATCATTAAGCATCATGATTTTGACAGTTTATTTGGTATTGAATCTCTTAGGAGTTAAAATATGAGGAAAATTCAGTCAAGGCAGTGCGGTGTCTGAATGATATGGTCACAAATTCTTTAATACATGTCGAAGATTGCCTGAACTACATGGCTGCTTTGCGAGATCCGGCCATCTTTCGTTTTTGTGCAATTCCGCAGGTAATGTTTTCACGCAATTTACCTACAATCCTCCTTATAATGGTGGTTTGTTGCAAAGAGCTAGAATATATTGAATAATAACTTCGAAGTACCCCATCTTTATAAATGTTAAACAAAGAAAATTATTTCCATCAAATTCTCATTCAATTATCTCAAATTTCTGCAAGACCATGTCGAGGTGGAACAAGAATGCTTCATGTTATTTGCTTTGTCATGTTAGAAGGTAAATCTGATTTGTTTTTTCCTAATTATTACCAGATCATGGCAATTGGGACATTAGCTTTGTGTTACAACAACATTCAAGTATTCAGAGGTGTTGTGAAAATGAGGCGTGGTAAGATGAATATTCTATTTGTGACTGTTAGCCTCCTCGCAGTTTAGAAACTCTCAACTGCTTTTCATGGATGCACAATTGGCTTCTATAAAGTTAGATGCATTCTTTTTATCGATTTAAGTAGGTGTACTAAGTAACGAATGGAATTCAATGGAAATTTAGAATGGCTACATGTATCTGATACAAATGTTTGGCACCTTTTTACTTATAACTATTAAATTTGGTTTAGGCTGTTCTTTTGCACCATTTCGTGTTTTTGTCACATTCCTATTTGTTATTGAAATAACAGGAGACACTAATTATTTATGTTTTCTGTTTCTTTGTCGTATAGGTCTAACTGCGAAAATTATCGACCGAACTAAAACAATGTCAGATGTCTATGGGGCTTTTTATGATTTTTCCCTTATGCTAAAATCAAAGGTACTCTTCTTCACACCAAAGAGTCCATTTTGGCTGGCATGTACATGGTTCAACTTTATCGCACATGTAATTGATTTTTGGACTCCAATATCTTGAATTTTCAGAAAAACTTCTGCTCGTAAAAAATATTTTCCCCCGAATTTGAAAAAAACTTTGCATATTTTTTGAGCTTCGACGTTTGACACAAAATTGAAAAGAGCATGTCCTGGGATTTTGTGTTTATGCTAAGATTCTTCAGGCAGAAATTGTTTTTTTATTTTTTATCATTCCTTCTAAAGATTTGCTTTTATAGTTCCAATCAACCGTCTGCATTCTTAATTTCATCACATTACGGAGTTTCGTCTCCAGTCATCATATGTCATAGAAGGCCTTACCTGTAGAAAACCGAAGTCCATTCATTTGTTTCTAGAAACATTATTTTATTTTAATCCAGCCAATATTCATGTTCTGCTAGCACTAGCAGTTTGCAAAAAATATTATGTTTTTTGTACGTTGTATGCTTTACAGAATGAAATTTTGCTCGGCATATTATTTGTGATTTTGAATGCAATAGTTCTTTTGCTTTATGGTTTCTGAATTTTCTAGGTTGACGAGAATGATCCTAATGCTAGTAAGACAAAAGAAAGATTAGAAGCAATCTTTAAACTTTGCAGGGACTCCGGAACCTTAAGCCAAAGGTGAGTCTCTCTCTCTCTCTCTCTCTCTCTCTCTCTCTCTCTCTCTCTCTCTCTCTCTCTCTCTCTCTCTCTCTCCCCCCCCCACCCACACACGCAGACACGCATACAATCAATTTTTATACACATTATATTTTTTCACAGGAAATCATGCATTATCCAGAACAAGCCACAACTTAATGCAACTTCGGTTAGTGTTGATGGAATTCTTACGTTATTAGATTCTACTTGCTGAAAAGAATACTAATTCTTTTACATATATATTTACACAATGCAGATTGCTCTTGTATTCATCGTACTGGCTATAATTGTAGCATACCTATCTCAATCTCGACCAACTATTATGTGTAAGTCTCTTTCCGTATAAAATAAATAAGGAAAATAATGTTCACAGTTCTTTCTCATATTTCTGCCCTCGGATTGGTCTACAGAAGCAAATTTGAAGAGCGAAATATCCCGAGCAGAGTGGTATTAAACGATTCCGACTGTGATGTCTGAACTTCATCATTTATAGTGCTGTACACAACATCGCAGCATAAATTCAAGTTTGTAGTTATATTTTTTTTGAATTATATATAGTTCACATGCCTGAAGGAATACTGAATAAAGTTTGTCAGGCTTGTGAAAAATGTAATGTTATTTTGAAGTGAGTGTCAGCTTGTAAATTGTAATATTTCTCTATTTAACGTAACAAAATAAAAGTATAATTGCTATGTAAGATATACTTTCAATTAATTTTTTTTTGAAATAGTTAATATTTAAAATTAGGGGCTCTTTGAGAAAACCCCCTCATTATTATTTTTAATTGAGGGAGGCCCAAAATATTTTAGTCCATTTGAGAAAAGTCCACACCCATTTTCAGCCATTATGCTTTCCAGCTTTGTCCCCATCCGCCACATCATCACTGGGTCACGCTCAGCAATTTTTTTTTTTTTTTTTTTTTTTTTCCGTTTTTTTTTCTTAATCGACTATGAAGCATAGTCGATTAAGCCTTAATCGACTATGCTTCATAGTCGATTAAGGAAATTATTTAATTATTTAATTTTTTTTTGTTTTTTTAATTTTTTTTTCTATATCAGGTGTATTAATCGACTATGATGAAGCATAGTCGATTAAGAATCTGCTACTAAACATAACAAATTACAACTGCGAAAAAATGCAAAATCAACTATATTTTAGAAAGAAAAAAATATATACAAACGTTATAAATGATTTATACAATTGAAACAATAAACAAGAAATCCAAAAAAAAAATAAAAAAAACTGGAGTCGATCAACCCTAATCGAATACCAGAACATAGTCGATTAGCTTAATCGACTATGAACATGTACATAGTCGATTTAGGTTTAAGTTCCATATATATGGTTAAAGATTTAAGTTGACACAGCCCACTATAACTAATTAAAGCCTCATAAAAATCGTAAACCCGTCATATTTTGAGCATGTTCAGCTCCACCAATTAAGAAAACTAATTTAAATTAATTTAATCCCAATCATAAATTAACTTAATCCCAAAAGCAACACCAGAATAGAGAATATAACTGATTATATTCATTCTTTATTACTACTTTAATTTTCTGTGTTCGTTTTCATTTCTATTTGCTAGAGAGAGAAAGTTAGAGAGAGAGAGAGAGAGAGAGAGAGAGATTGATGTATAGAAATGGCGGGTTACGAACATCAGCAAGGCTCCGGCGGAGGTGGTAATTCTTCTCGCTACGTTCATCAGCTTCTCACACCACCGACGGACCTCCACTTGCAGCAGAGGCCGCCGCCGTTGCCTTC